TGCTACACCGCCGTACGAGTCGGTTAAGTGATGTGATGACTGATGAATGGACTACATTTCCGAATAGGAGATTTGAAGTTTTTAAGCCAAAAACCTTTTTACTTTCTTTTTTTTTTCAAGATTCCATTATACACATCTTGAATTGAATTTGATCACAGGATTGAAGAACATAGTATTGGTCTTTTTGACTTTCGTAAGTCATCGAGCAGTAGCATCAACTATGTATGGGAAACTTTATCGTATTAGTATATAGGTATGTATAAGTGTTAAGTTTTAATTTAATTATAATTAGGTAATAAGTAATTACTAAAAGCTGTGGTAAGACTGATGGCTACACTATCGTATTGGAATGTATCTGTAATGGTAGTTGTTAGTGCATTAAATAAATAAAATAAAAACTCTACCTACATATTATCTTCAATTATACTACGCCCATTATGGGCGTAATCATGCCCCATTTTACATTCGAACCCCTTTTTATAAAAACAAAACTACCGAAAATGGATGTTCTAATGAAACATCTCAGTTTACCTCACCAGGGAATATAAAATACAAATTATCTTGCTAAGATATTGAACCATTTATAACAATAAGCCTTCACAATGGATTTTGAACCCAACCATTTTACGCAGACAAAAAATGAAGCCTAGTATTTAGGGGCTCCCTGAAAATTGGTCCATAATCGATACTATCAATTCGTAGAAGATTTACAGGCATTGAATTTATGAGCCGTAAGAACACGCGTACTAGTTAAGCCCCAGTCCATCCCATATTTCAACGGCTCTGCTGGCCAGGATCTAGAAAAGCTACCACGAAAAATAGCGTCCATCGTTTCTCGGTTCCAACAAATAATTTATCAGACTAACTATCTTGAAGTCCTGATCTGAGAAAAAGACTGGCAGGTAAAGAAAAGGATTTCGAGTTTCAAATGAAAAGGTCGCCTCCATATTGGTTTCGGAAATAAGGACAGAGGCATTACTCGATTAATCGCTTTTCTGATTGGATACAAAATTGGGAAAATTGAAGGAAAGGTGGCTATAATGTCGTTCGATTTCTATTTTACCCGATGGAAGTGAACGTGTATATTCGATGCGTCTTTTTATGTGAAAGGGATGTAAGCCGAGGGCGAAGTATATTGCTTTGAACTTCCAGTGCACTTATTTTGCTGACGTCATCTGGAAAGTAATACTGTTAGAACGCGATTGCTCAATCTAGGTTTTCTAGTATAATAATGAAATAGTATTGCAATGTTTCATAGTAATAATCTTTCAAGTCTTCTTATTAAGTTTTTTACTAAGTAAACTAAACTAACCTAGTTCTCAGACGTTGTTCTAGTCTCGAGGTTAAATTGATTAATTAAAATAATTCTATTTATCTGGATTCACAGCAACGTCAAAAATATACTACGTACTAAATAAACAAAATAAAAATGTACGCACTCTCTTACTTTACGACATAAAAAACTGGAGGCTTTATTACACAATCTAGCAATGGGCTGTTATTCATACTCGTTGTTTACATAGCGATGCTAAAGTAAATCAAGAAAGGGGCTGGTTACAGAGAAGAGTCACAAGTCACATAACAAAGCAAGTGTCACATAAACTCCGACTAGTGCTAAGTGAATAACGTGCGGAGTTAGTGTTATTTAGCTGAATATATCCGCTTCCCTCTGTCAATTTTACGACCGAAACTAAGTAGGTACAATCGTATCGTCGACGTAAATGCTTCCGTAATTCATACACACACATACATCAAGTATTAACTTTGATTACGCGACACCCATATAAAGTTCGTTGTCATTCAACGTCAAAGAAAACGTTTTCAATTGTTTAATTCCAGCAATTAATACCCGTTCAATGTATGTACAAAAATAGAACGGAATTATCAGTAGTCACACACGAATTCAAAACATGAATACCACGGCTTTCCCACTAAAAGTATTTTTGTCATTTTATGACGGCATCAGGTGACGTCACGCGTAGGGCAAAAGTAGTTGTTATGTGAAGCGAATAACGCGAAGGGAGTAAAGGGAACGTTAGAGTAGTCGGTGTAAAGACAACTAGTTAGCTAACAAATTATCGTAGTTAGGAGTCAGTCACGCAATCCGCACTTAGCCAATTTATCATCGTGTGGACTAGGTGCGTCGGATGCCGTCACTGTGTTCAACAACTCAACTCCATTTCTCTCTAACTTTGTGGCTTTTAGTTATAATGTAAGGGTGCTATGTTTGTTGTTTATCATCTAGATGTTAAAGTTAGCAGACAGACGCTGAACGAATTACACGTGTGAGTGAATTTACCCTAATAATACTAGAACAAGCTCATTTCTTGGAAGCTAATTACCTGGCATGTTATGTTTGGATTGTATTTTAATAAAACATGTAATTATGTACATACAGGCTTCGGGTTTGATGTGTAGAAGAACACAAAAGGCTGTTAAAACTCATATCTGTCTTATTTTGCTTACGTCTTTCCCGCCATTTCTATCAAATATGGCGCGTGTGTTAATTCAGTTACGTTTGACCCTTTTCAAAGTTTACGCAAAGAGATTGTATATATCAAAACTTAGCTCATATAAAGGGTCATTTGGTTCGTTTTTCTTAATTATGTAACTTAAGGTGAGACTACGGTTATCCCCCGAAGAGGTAGACAGGGTAGGTACTTAAGTTGTAAATAAAATGAAATGGGTACTTGAAAACCTCTTTGTTCTAGTTTCATTAAAGTAACTGTGCCATTAGTGTGTATGAGCAAGGATGATAATATCTTAAGTTTTCATTCCTAGATAGAAGCTAAGACATACGTGATATTCGAGATTTTTACAACAAATTTTTGAAATTTGATGTTATGTTTGCGAAGATTTTACTAAAAGTTTTAACCAGGGATATTAAATTCTTACAGGTCATAATATTGTGAGAAAAAACGAAAATATACCATTCAGTGACTTATAATATTTAACATAACATAACATCACGCCTTTTATCCCCGAAGGGGTAGGCAGAGGTGCACACAGAAGTAACACCCACTTTTCACTATTTAGATTTTTAAAAACCCAGTAATACTTTGCCCGACCCGGTAATCGAACCCGAGACCCCTTGCCCGGTAGTTGCACTTGCGACCGCTCGGCCAACGAGGAGTTATAATATTTAGTGTAGCTCTAATCTAATCCGGCTTACGAATAAAAACGTACTCAACTCATGATTTATCTGTACATGGCAGCTTCATATAAATTGGACCGTTGACTTACTACCGTAGCGGTTAGAAAAATGATACAACAAATAATTCTATTTCTTTCTACCAACATAACCTTACATTATGCGTTTATGTATCACGTAGCACACATTACAAATATTCGGTTCTCGTATATCTATTGTATATTTATTTACGCTGGGATTCGCACACGACCTTAAAAATAACTCAGGCCAACGTTGAGAGAAACTGAAAGGATTTGGTTTATGTGCGGGTACGGGCATCAGTCAGTTGCTACGTGAATTATCGTGGCATTTGTTTGGGCCCAACTTGTGGTGGACGCAGTAAGAAATCTTAAGAGATAGACCACACGTCTTACTATAACTGCTGCCCTAGTACTACATTATTACTTGCGTTGTAAAAGAAACCTTATGATGTTGTACGACACTCGATTATACCAGTATAGTGCCAGTTTGTTACAGCTTAAGTGAGCGTCCTCTAAACTAATATAAATTTCAGCAAACTGTATAGGATAGTGAGCTTAGGAATGACTGGGAAAGCGTTTTGATGTAAATCACAAAGATGGAATGCTGTGGAAATGGTAGATAGATAAATGCTTCTTAATAATTGAACTATAGGTCCATAAGCTTTTTTATGATGTTATTTAGTTATCATTGCCGTTATCGTGTCAGCTACAGAATAGCCACGGCTGAACACAAACCTCACCTAGTAAGTAACTTCCAGGTCAATTAGTGGTCAATTGGTTGAACTCTGGATCCAGCGTATATTGCTTTGTTATACTTTCTAGTAATATTAGTCAAATATTAATCACTTGCTGCATCCTATCCAATGACAGGTATAATATTTTGTAATTTGTCCGTAAACATTTTGTGTACCCGAAGCTTACATGCCTCTATAATTATATTTCATGAGATTCATTATATTTGATTATGTATAATTATCGTTGATAGCCGCGTCTATTACTAACATTATACGAGACTGTTATGGCGCGAAAGCGGCTCGTGTTCCTTTTGGAACATAACCGCAATCCCTTGAGGGTATAGACCAAAGTACCTTTGTGGTTACAAAATTGGAAAGTCTACACTTAGAGCTCAAACTTCTTTAAAAATACGAACGAATTCTCTTTGAGCACCCCGGTGTTATTGTTTCAACAGTAACAAAAACTCATTTTAATTAACTAAGTACCAAACAAACAAAGTCCTCGGTTGCATTTGAAAATATTTGCTATTTAAGTAGGACTTAGCAACTGTTCATACTGTAGCGAGTAAGCAAGTCCACTCGCACGATGCAACGCAGCACTGGATCATACGATATGACGTCAGAGCGGGCCGTGTGCAAAAACCGGTCGCAAAGATCCGCCCACTTCTCACCGCTAGCCGCACCTCTTAGACATGGCGCCTGCGCATCCTTTTGTGCGAGTACTGATGACGACAAGATGGCCGCGCAGTACCTATTGTCTGCACTATCGAGGGGGCGTTGACCTCTCGCACGAAACGGTCAAGCGCGAACCGTTATTATTATTATTTAGCTTTTGTAATCAATATAAATATGTGTGTATTTCTGTATAATTATTCATTCTCGTTTCTTA